TAAAATAATTTATTATGCTAATATATTATAACGTGCTCTTGCTATTTGATTACGTTCAGAAAAATAATTACAAATTGCATACGTTCATGTAATACGAAATAACGAGAGAAATTTTACATACCTTACAGGCAACAAAAAAATTTTAATCAAATCAGACTGATCGCAGTATATATCACAACGAGCATATATCAGCTGATAGCTGAACACCCGCAACCCGCAACGTCGACTGTAGGACCGATGAAAGCGCAAACGCCAAAGGTATGATCTGTCGATTCGTTATATAAAATATATCTCGATATGTTTCGCTTCTACGACTTCAGATTGAAGTCCATATCTCTACCACCATATCTCTACATCAGCCAATCAAGTCCAATGTTTCTTTTTTTTCATTCGCTAGTCATTTGCGAATCGCAATTAAACTGGGGACCAATTTTCCATCAAGTAATTTCTTACTTCATGGATGATTTTAGTTTCACCGCTTGCACATCTACGTTTGCTGCACTTTTCGCATTTTTTAGCCGAGATATAAACCATAAAGGTTAAATGAACGTTTGATATTTTTTATGACTCTTGATGTGCATTTATATTAATAACAATTGTGAGAAAACTTGAACAATTTACATTTTATGAATCGTTTTGATTCAGAAATGTTTATGTTTTTATTATAGTAGTTCCTGTTAATATTAAATCATCGAACTTTATGCAATCCACCTGTCATTATCTCATCTTATACAGGTTGGAGATTATAATATGTACTTGGCTTTTAATTTACAGGCATTTTATTTGTGATTTGTTCTTCTTTTTAAAACACTTCTTCTTTTTATTACACTTATTTGTACATCTATAAATGAGATGAATAAAGATGTAATTAATTTTTTATTGAAAAATTCTATAAGTTGTAATTTTTTGAATATTGAGGGAATTTTTCTTTAATGAAAAATAAACATTCAATTTCTAAAATAATCTTTTGTGATACTCAATTTTTATAATTTATATAATTTGCTTTATTTTTTTATGTATTATTTATTTTACTTTTATAAATATGCATTTTTATCACGTTTATTTAATACATCTTTCTAAAGTTATTGATCTTTTATTTATATACTATAAAAAAAGTTAATTGGATTTTGTTTAACAACAAATTTTACTATCTATTAATTTTGCAAATATTATGCATTATCTATCTATTATATCTATTAATTTGCAAATATTATAAATTGTATAAATTTTCATCTATTAATTATTTCTTATTTATTGATTTCTATATCTATTTTATAACAAAAAGTTTTATTGATAATTAAAATATTAAGAAATCAATAATAAAATTAATATAAAATTAATATAAGTAAAATATTAATAAAATTAATATAAGTAAAATATTTCTTCTTACTTATATATTATTATATGTGTATCATTATCAATGTTCTGAACATTTTATAGGTGGAAGATGTAAGAGATTCCAGTGACCAGTTTAATGGATCATTATGGCTATATTTAAACCAAATTCAACTATATACTTTTTGAAAATAATTGGATTATTTAGATAATGCAGATTTTTTTTAAATTATATAAAACATACAAATAATGTCCTTTAGAATACGCTTAGCTCGCAGTAGGCCAATTAAACTTTTAGGAAATGTGGCTATGAAGTGTTGGGCCTTCAGCGGAGCTTATATTCTTGTATGCTTTTTCTTATATTGGTTATATGGCGGAGTCTTGGCTTTCTTCTTACTCTGTTTTGCCACAACTGGTTTGTATATTTTTGTGTTACAAAAAGCTTCATCTCCTAACGAAATTTTTTTATTATTAATTTAGGGATATTATATAAATGAAAAATGATTATGTTATGATTATGTTATAATTACATATTATGATTATATCTTTTTATTACTACAGGAATACTCTATCACAGAGAAGATCAACTTCTTTATCACCCAGAACTGCCAGCTCATTCCAGAGTTTACGTACCAGCTCCCTCAATATTCAGTTTACCGTATCAAAGTATATATACCAGAGCTGGAGATGGTACAATGTTGCATATGTTTTTTGTTTCCCAACCAGAAGATAGAGTGAGAAAAGCACCTACATTGCTATTTCTTCATGGCAATGCTGGCAACATGGGCCATCGGTATTTAATATTATTTTATTACATATTTAATATTTATTATACATATTTATTATACATATTTATTATTAATTCATTTACTAATAAGAAATTATGTAATTATGTTGTGTGATATATGTTATATGTTTTTTTGCAGATTACAGAATATAGTAGGACAATATCATAACATTCAATGTAACATTTTAATGTTAGAATATCGAGGATATGGCCTGTCACAGGGCACTCCATCGGAAGAGGGTCTCTATATGGATGCTCGAGCGGGAATAGATTACCTATTTAGCAGAACTGATATTAATACTAATGAAATCATTGTATTTGGTAGATCATTAGGTAAAAAAAAACCTAATTGTATCATTTAGAATATTTATATTTTAAATGAGATATATTAAACTTGAGAAAGAGACAGAAAAGGAATGAATGTTATTAATTATGTTATTTATAATTTGATTATTTTGCTAGGTGGAGCAGTAGCAATTGATTTAGCTACAAAAGAGGAAAATTCACAGAGAATTTGGTGCCTTATACTTGAAAACACCTTTACCAGTATCCCAGATATGGCCGCCTTATTTGTAGGATCTAAATTTTTACAATATCTGCCACTCTTTGTATACAAAAACAAGGTAAGCAGAGCAAAAAAGATGTTATATATTTTAAAATTATTTTATATAATTGTTTTGATTTTGTTTTTATAAAATTAAAGATTTTATTAAAAAAGGTATACGTTATCTACTAGAAAGTAGTCATAATTTATAGCAAATCTTTTTCAAGATGTTATATGTGTTTAATATATTTTATAGGATCTATTTTTTTTATATTTGTTTTTATATTTTTTACATGACTTTGTATTTTTATACTTTTTATTGCAGTATTTGTCAATCCTAAAAGTTCGCTCAGTAACAGTTCCCACTCTGTTCATTTCCGGTCTGGCGGACACGCTGGTACCACCTCGTATGATGCAAGATCTTTACAAGAATTGCCGAAGCACGTACAAACGTATTCTTCCAATCGTGGATGGCACACATAATGAAACTTGGTGTCAGCCAGGTTATTATCAAAATATTAATACTTTTCTGACCGAGCTCAGGGAAAATCCACAACCAAGGATAACATCTAATCATTGGCAAATTGATAACATTTAGTGAAAAAATGCTTTCGTTACCATATCTATTATTATTATCTATAAACATAGATGCAAAATTATTTTTATGTATTAAAGACACGAAAGAATTAACTTTTGCATCGAACTTTTTCTATATTTCGTAGAAATTTTTTAAATTACAGAAATGAAGTCCATTTTATCACTCAGAAGTGATTAATCTTATTCTTGCATCCAAATCATCATGATTAAATTAAATTTGAGGCTCCTGAGTACTCAGCGAGGAATTCGCATTGACGGTAGTGACGTATCGTCACGGTGAAAAATAAAAGCTCATTTATCCTTGTTCATCTTATCCCATTTGGCCTTGTTCGTCTTTATAAGTGACATGCGGCCAAAACGAAATTTTTATTGCTGCTATTTTCGTCATTATGTGCTTAATCGTGCAGATGTGACTTGTTTCGTACTAGATTCGTAAAAATGGGCGGCAACTAAAATCATTTTTTCCACTTCTTTCAACAATTGTCAAATTGTATGTTTTCTGTCTGAACAAGCTTCATTTCGCGTGTCTTTTACAGGTATTTATTGATTATCAGGAAGGGAAAGAATAGGAGTCGCTTATTTTCACAAGTGTCTTAAAGCCATATTAGGTATTATTTTAGTCAAATATCTCTTTATTTGCAAAATTAGCACAATAAACTTTACTGTATCTTTGCTAGTAAATTATTTTAATGTAACTTTATTGTATTTTTCGTCTATGACGTCACGATTCCAATATTGCGTCGCGGTGACTACTCAGGGGCCTTAAATAATTATTTAAAGTCACTGTAATTAAATTAATTAAATTAAGCAATGAAATTAACTACTTTGACTTAATTTAATTTGATTTAATTATGATTAGTTAAGGTAATTAATTATAACAATATTATAATTAATCGATTAAAAAATAAATGTATATATTTAAATTCTTACAAGAGATTTTATATTGTTGGAAACATATGAATTAAAAACAGGGGAACATAAACATTTTTTAAAATATAATTTAAAGGTACGTAAAGAGTACATTATATAAAGTAAGTTATTATTTTTACCGAGCAAGTTAACTTTTATATACCAAAGCATACGTGTGTCCACAAAAATTCACATTTTTGTTATTTATGTAAATTAATATTAAGAAATTGTTGATTATGTTTTATTGCAAATCAATTCTTGTTATAAATATTATAACAAAATTAGAAAAGAATTATAATTTATGATAGCTAATTTAGGAAATTTTTGCAAGAACTACATAAATTACATGTCATGTAAGTTGTGCTGAGAGAAAATAATAAAAAATATTTTATATTTTTTCCCAATGACAGTCTTCATGTTTTTATAAAAATAAAATAAAAATATCTAAAATTTACGATTGATTCGTCTTTTCTTCGCAATCATTCTTCGAGATAATACAATACCGATCACTGTTAAAATTGTGAGCACAGCTATCGCTGTAGCCAGAATAGCGATCATTCCAGGACCAGTTTTGAATGTAACAACTTGTTTACCAGAAATACTCGCAACATTAACAGTCATTCTCTCTGCGAAATCGGAAAACTTGTCACAAAAGACTTCTCCTTTCCATTCGTACCAATGGATCATTCTTTTGTTAGCTAACAGAGGTGGACCAGCACATCTAATTAATAAATTGTAAAAAAGGACACATTAATGTATTTTTATTTATGAATGATAGTTATGAAGTTATAATGAGACGATAAGAAATAAAAAATTCAAAATACGAAAGCATTGTAACATGTGCATGTGATTTCTTATTATTAAATTTATTATATTAAATATAGTATTAGATTCTAAAATATTCAATAACATGTATAAACTTGTGTTACCTCAAATTTTCCAAAAGATTAGGATTTATTGTGTAAAGTTTTGGGACTAATTCGTTCAACATCCATTGCAACGAACAATCACAAACAAATGGATTTCCTTGAAGATTGATAAAATAATTTAGATTTGAAACGCTTTTATTGTGAATATTTGTATTAAATAGTTCTGCTGGCAAATGACTAAAGCGATTATTGCTCAAATCTAGCTGAAAAATAATAATAAATTACATGTAAATATAGCTGAAATATAATAATGAATTGAACATGTAAACAATAATGAATATGTAAATATAACTCTTTTTAAAAGTATATTTTTTTATAATAAATTATAAAATACTTACAGAGCAAATATTCATATGTTGAAAAACATTTTTCTGAATCATATTCAACTTTGTATTACTCGAAATAATCACATTAATACAACTGTTTTTCTTCTCTTTTAGCATTAAAAACATTTCTTTGTCAATTTCTTCAATCGTTTCTATAAATTTTACTTCAAATATTTCCAAATTCAATTCAGATCGAATTTTTATATCTTTCAAACGATTCCCATCGACTTTAAAAATTCGTAAATTTGGAAAATTTTTAATAGAAATACTTTCAGGAATTATTGTTAAATGATTAAAAGATACATCCAGCGTTTCTAAAGTTCTTAAAGGAACATTCGGAAAGTCTGATAAAGAATTTTTACTAATATTTAAATTTTTTAATTCTAATAATGTTATGTTGTCATATATATTAGAAATATTATTGTTTTGAATATTTAAGATATTAATTGGTAATTTTTGAAATAATATGGTATTAATAAGATTGTTTTCTGCATAAAGTTCCAACAATGATGGTGGAAAATTTTGGAAATTTAAAGAAAGAAGATTATTATTACTAATATGAAGGATTTTTAAATGTTGCATATAAAGTAATGAATTGGTTGGAAGAGTGATAAATTTATTGAAAGAGAGATCCAAGTATTCCAATTCTGGCATACCATCAAGAAAATTCTGCAAAATATTAAATAAAGTTTTTGTAATAATAATATAATTACACGCGCGCGCGCGGCACACACATCAAATTTTATTAAAAAATTTTTCAAAAAAAATTGTATTACCAGATCAACAAGATTGTTGTGAGCTGCATCAAGAATTTTCAATTTAGTTATTGCATTTTCTGAGCTTCTCTCCAAATTATTTATTTGATTATGGCTTAAATTAAGTTTGGAAAGAAAAGGAGATCTGTTTAAAGTAAAAATATCAAAATGCCATAGTAAATTGTGAGAATAATCTAAATCTTCGAGTTTATGTAAATACTTAAAAATGTCTGGAGGCATATTATTTAGTTGATTTTGAGATAAATCCAATCTTTTCAAATATTTCAAATTTTTTAATTCATTTATGGGTAGGAGCACTATATTGTTTTTTGAAAGAATAAGTTTGTTTATTGATCTATCTTGATTTAGAGTAAAAAGATCAAAATTGAGGATTTCATTTCTTCCTAAATATCTGTTACGGCAATTAATAATTGAGCCTGTACCTGTAAGAATATCATATTTATAATTTACATTACTAATCATATTACAAATCCACTATGATATATTATTATTTATAATAATGACATAATAATAAAAATATCTCATTTTTATATCATTAATCTCATTTGTTATTTATTAATTTAATCAAATTTCATATAAATTTTTTTCCTTTTCAAAAACATGATATAACACATGTAACGATATAAAATATGCATGTTTATTATTTTTCAATTTATTTTATTGTTTGCTTTATTTTATCTTTACTTTTGACAGAACTTACTTGTAGTAGAACATAAGCAGGTTTTACATATGTCACATAAACATTGTTTGCACAAAAATAAAAGTAACAATATAAAAATGTTAAACATTATAATATTGAATACTGATTTCACACTCAAGGTACAGTTAAACGGTTGCACGTTTAATAGTAGAGAAGATATCTATAAACAGTCTTGATAACATATCTGATAAGTGTATCAACTATGTGAATCATTCTATATTACTCATCTTGTTACAAAAAATATAAATGATTGATTTAATTTAATTATTGATGATTCGTAATGATGTATAACTAACTATAAGATAATTTTGGGACATATTGTATAAAAATTTAAATTGTGCAATATTAATTTTGATTTTTCCTATATTTTAATATATTTGGATCTAAAATATTCCGCTTTAAAAAAATATATTTTAAACTACTAAAAACGCAATATTCTTTGTATTGTATCAAAAGTTTTCTTTATTGAGTAACATTTGAAAATATTATTATTAATTGCAAGCAAAATTTTTAAAGTAACAATATCTGAATTAATTTTCAAGCAATATATTAAATGATTATAATTTATCAACATCAAATGCAAGTAAAAAGAGATTTTTTAAGTAATTTTTTTCATTATATATTATATTACAAAAGCAATATGAAGTTACTCATTAATATCGTATATTACTTATTTTATTATTAATAATGTACATGATACTTATTATATTTTATCAATATTAATAATTAAAACAATGTTCATATTAGTTGTCAAAAAACAAAGATTTGTAAATTAGATGGAAAGTTCTAAGACTTCTTGAAAAAGGCTGTTAATGTGGATTGTTTCTTCTTCACCTTCTCTATCTTAGTTTCTGCTTTTCTTTTCCTTTTTCTTATTTCTTCTTCTTTTTTCTCTTCCTCATCTTCTGAACAGCTCACATAGATATGTTCTTTTTTTGTCACAATGTATTCACCTTCCTTATAAGTTTTGTTGACCAACTTTAATACTTTCCTTTTGCCATTTTCATGTTTCACTTTTGGTGGAGAAGGACTCTTTGATTTTGCAGGAATTTCCGGCTCTGGTTCTGATACTGATTCCTCCATTTCTACATCACTTTGTATCTCTGAATCACTGGAATCATCCTGTATAACAATTCTCTTCCGTTTTTTAGCAACTTCATCGGTGTCTTTACTTCTGTTTCGCTTTTTCCCACTCTTCTTTTCCTTCACTACTTTTCCTTCCGTAGATTCTTTTTTAACATTATCATTAGTCTTTTCTGGCGATGTTATTTCTACAATAGATTTTGAAGGAAATGTCTGTTTTCCAAAGAAGTTATCCAAGCGCCCTTTCTTTACAGAATTATTTTGTGTTTTTTTAGTGGAAGAATTAATTATAGACCCTTTATTTTTCTCTATTGAATTAATTTTTTCTACAGAATCTTTAGAAAAATCTTTATTTTTATTGATAGAATTTTTATCTTTTTTCACATCTTTTTCCTCTTCTGTTAAATTATTGGCTTTCTCTGTTAAAGTTTTATTTTCCTTTGTCGAATCTTTTTCCTTACAAGAATCTTTATCTTCTTTCATCGAGTTTCTATCATCCTCTTGAAAGAATGATTTTAATTTTTCAGAACTCTTTGTTTTCCCAGTCTTATTAAACAGATTATTAAATCCATGTTTCTTTGCTGTTATTGGATTTTTTTCTGTTTTTGATGGATTTAGAAAATCTGTGGATTTTAAACTTGTCATATTTTCCATTGTAATCTTTTTTGCAACTGTACCCCATCGTAATAGTTGCATTTCTTCGTCGCTTCGTTCTTTGCAAGCATCACACTTTATCGCACTGTAATTTATGTCACCAGAATCAGAATTGGCAAGCAGCTCCAAATCCGCAAGTGGTTTGTGAACACTATATAGGTGCTCCGAAATAATTTTACTGAACTTTTCCTTAGCTTTAGATACATTAGACTCTTTGACAACTTCTACACGCATTCCTTTATCCTTTAGAAGGCCAATTAGCAAATATGTACATTCAATATTGTTATTTTTATTGTAATTTTGATAGAATTCCCATAAAATTTGTTTTGCCACATTGACATGGACATGTAGTTCCTTGCTAAGCCACTTATAAGTAACCTTAAAATAATATTGTGCATATATTAATAATAATAATAATAATAATAATAATATATTTGAATTGCAATAAAATTACCAGCTTATCGTTATCAAAAATATAACCGGCCAAAGTTTCTAAATACTCGTTTAATGCTCCCATAGTCATTTTTCAACAATTTATGTTATAAATATCAGTTAGTTGTTAATACGACTCCAATGATTTACTTATATAGCTTAACTTTATCATTCTAACCTAACTTTATCCTTAATATCGAGTATAAAAGGTCTGTTCTTTTGCTGACTTTTGCACAGTTCATCTTTCTTCCTTTTCTTTCCACATCAGAGAGAAAAAGAGAAAAGATAAATTTTGCAAAAAGTTCAGCTAAAAAAGAACAGACCTAATGATACATTCATAGACACAATAAGTATAGATTGTACAATAAGGAGTATAAGTGTCGGACCACAATATAGGTGATTTAAGCTTTTAAGAATTAAGAAATTGACCAATCATAATCGAATATAAAAAGAATAATCGCTTATGATAGATCAATCTCTTAAAAGGCTTAAAGATTAAATACCTATTGTAGACCGAGACTAATTGTTGTTTCCTTACTGCTTAACGGCCGCAGCATACACTTCTGCATAATGCATAATGCATAATGAAATGGAGGACTATGATTGGTTCATTTTCTTACGCGTAATGCATTCTTATGCGTTATGCAGAAGTGTGTGTTCCGGTCCTAAAGCCTAATCTACAATAACATAACATAAGGCTATAAGGCTGTAAGGCGTGGTTGTAAAAATTTATTTAAATGAATTATTTTCATTTCTTATGCTTAACAATCTTACATCACAGTATACAGCATAGTTATAGTCTTATGTCATTGTAGACTAGGCTTAAGTCTTACTGCTTAAGTTTTTTATATGCCATGGCCCTTAATGAAATCCTTTTTTTTTTGTGTAGCTAGGAGTAGAGATACTACAATCAGAGACTGGCCACGACTCTGATCCGCCATGTTTTGGCTAAATCCTACGAGAAAGGAAGAAATATACACCATCTTATTCTAACCAATAACGTGTTTTGGTTAGAGCAGGGGTCTGCAAGTGGACACTGCTCGCGGGCGCCCAATGCCCGCTCGCAACAGTCGAGCGCGCTGGGGCTAGCGTTAGGCGGCTAGGTGCAATAAAGTGAGGAGAGGGGATAGCAGGAACGTCTGTTCATTGAACGTGCTGTTTAAGGAGTAAAAAAATATTGTATTGCACAAATTCAGACCCAGAATTAGCATAAATTAATAACTATCTATATTTTAAATAAACAATTCTTACAATAATATTAAATAAACAACTTTTATAACATTTAATTAGTATTTGATTCATAGTTTTCCGATATTACGATACGATATATCAGGTGTTATCGTTTTGACAACTTAAACGAATTATTGCAAAATTCAAATGTGAATCTGTTAACTGTTCGCGTAATCGCGATTTATTTAATTTCATAATAGAAAATAATTGTTCACATGAATATGTAGAACCGAACATACTCATTATTTTTGCAGCACAAGCATGTAGTCGAGGAAAATGTTCTTGAGATATATATGAATAAAATTGTACGATGTCAGTCATTGTATAAAAACGATTTTTAAGAGCATTGTCACATTTTAAATCTATTAATTCTAATTATATGCGGGAATAATATTAATATCAACAGTAAAAGATGTCATAAAAATAAGTAAGTCTTCTTCTAAAACATGCATTTAACCCTAAACCGACAATCGAATTCATTATAATAATTTGTAAGAATTAGACGACCGTAAGCGGTCATGAAAGAGATTCGGAATATAAAGAGCTAACAGAGAGGAGCCGTCGTGGTCGTGCAGACTAAGTGTCGGATTGATAGACGAGGGATCCCGAGTTCAAATCCAGTCGGTCTCCGTTAATTTTTCCGAATCTAATAGATATCTTTCAAATTGAAGTAAATTTATATATTCTTCATTTCTATTGCTTATCTTGAATGTGCATGGCAACAGATAATAAATTTGAAAAATGCAACAACTATCGAGATTGAAATTGATTGATCCATAAATTAAGTTTCATTTGGAAATGCGAAACTTTATCCCAAGGTACTAAAAATATTAGATACGCTTCTGAGATGTGCATAACAGGTGGGCACTCGCGGGCGCTCGCGGGCGCCCGTGCCCAATTTCAGCGTTTTGCCGATTCCTGGGTTAGAGTGAAAGAAATATATACCATCTTACTCTCTAACCAATAGCGATATTTTTTACTTTGCATGGCATTGATTTAAGTGTATTGTGCATGTGTATTAAATACGAAAGCGTGAAAATATATTATTAAATAATAGAGATACTAAAATTGCAAAATATAGTCATAAATTAATTAATTGTGATAAATTAATATAAAAAATGGATTGGATGTTCATTTTTTTACTTCAATTTTATTTTATATTGTAATAAAGGTTGTTTATATAATAAATATGTATAATAATCCTTTCTAGAAAAAGGCATGACATTGTGATGGGATCGTAGAATCAAATACATGATCAAAAATGCGTAATTTATATACTCTTATATTTATATTTATTATATTTATATACTCTTTAGATTTAAATATCTGACGTTTAAAATAGCAAATTATTTATGCAAATTATTTATTTTTTTCACATTCAAATCGTAGTTGTGTTCATAATATGGAAAAAAAGTTATATTTTTTGAAATTAAAATGCTGCTGAGTAAATAAATCCGAATTAATCTAATTTAAAAAATAAACTTTAATTGTTTCCTTAATTGTATATTATTTCATATAAAATCGACAAATGGACAATTTGTAAGAAACAAAAATCTAATATTACATGTGTACTATTTAAGACTTCCTTCTTTTTCTTCGTTTGTTTTGTCCAATTTTTCTTTCCTCACAATATTTTTCTTGACTTGTTCTAACATCAATGCATCCTACAAAAATAAATAATAAATATGATAAATCTTTTACATATAAAAAAAATAAGTATATATGTAATAAAATAAGTATGTAATATTTTATCACATTTATATATTAGAACATTATTAAGTAATGCGTATTTTTATTTACCGTAACTGTAATAAGTAATAAACAATCATTTGTGTGCATATATTGAATGGTATAATCACGATTGGCATTACTATCTTTTGTTGTCGTCCCATTAAAATTACTATCATTCTCTGATTCCACTAACTGAATAGGTACATTCCAGATTTTGCTTGCGCCTTTGATCAAGTTCACATTTTCTCGATAAAAATTATAATCGCGCATATTTCCAACCAAAATACTAACTGTACAAACATTTATTACAATCTATATTAATTTAAAATTTAAATTATTTGATTAGTGCATTTACTTTGCCAATTAATAAGACCCACCTTCTGGATTTAATTTCTTGCTCACGTTCGCCATGCAACTTCTTATTGCGTTTATCACATCTATAAGTTCGCGCATCTTTTCTTCCAATTGGATGTCTCTTAAATGATCAAACTGTTAAAAAAGAAAGTAAAATAAACATTAAATAAAAATAAATTATCTATTATCTAATCTAATAATAGATATCTTTAAGAAAAAGAAATTATTTGATTTACTTCGTATGACATAGGATAAGAAGTTTCAAGCAGTGATGTGATTGACAGGAATCCTGGGAGACCTTTCTTGGCAAGTCTTGTATATAGATCATCTGATAGATAGGGTGTAATAGGTGCAAGGATACGTAATGACACTTCCAAACATTTTGCGAGAGTATTGGAATGCTCGGCGGAATTACCACTTCTAAATCCAAATTTTGTACCCTCCTATTTAAAAAAAAGAAAAAAATATATATATATATATATATTA